GTTCAGCACTGTAAGTTACTGGGAGTAGGTTATCTCTTACCTGTTGTCTGTATGCTATCTCGGTGTTTTAGAGGTTGATGGAACTTATTATATCGTGTTTGATAGTCTATGTACTCGAGTTGGTAACCTCCAGGAACAAGACAAAGGAGACCTAATGAAGATCTGCAGTATTGCTGTTATCATCATCATCATCATCGACAGCATGACATCAGTGTTCAACACCGATGCTTCACTGCTGTACAACCATGACTTATTTGAAAGCCTTACTGTAAAGAAAAGAGTAAAGGTGGACGGGGAAGGCGCTTAGGGCTAGCTTAACACAATCATTCCGAGGTGCCTACACCTCCAGACATTCACTCAGGCAATCTGGATAGAAACTGCCAACAAGAACGCCACTGACATCGGTTGGCAGCCATATCTTGTAGTGTCTCCAACCAGGCACAGTGAGGATCACGCGGTCCCCATCCTGGAAGGCGAGTAGCACCGACAGCACCCAAGCGTTTCGTGATCTCTTTCATACTCATCTGCCAGGTCATGGGTTGGCCACCTCTCTGTTTACGCTACTCCGAATTGGGCATGGAAAACAGTCCTCTCTTCGGCAAACGATGGTTCGGCATGCGTAAAACATGTCCCAACCAACGCAGCTTCTGGTGCTGGACACATTCTTCAATGGAAGTACCCGTTACACAACCGAAAAAACGCTTTCTAACTGCCTCGTTACGGATGCGCCGACACCAACCCACACGAACTATGGTTCTCATACAACGACTGCTGTACACCTGAATACGTCTCAGTCTCGCTGCTCGAACAGGTCAATTCTCACAGCTGTACAACAAAACAGCCCGCACTGTAGCTTGATACACACGTCGACGTCATAGGTGTCTTAAGTTAGCAAACGCGGTCCGAGCCTTGCAGATTCGTGCATTCACCTCATCTGTCACACTACAATCAGAACTAACACAACTTCCAAGATACGTAACACGCTTTACAGCTTCCAGTACCTTTTTTGGATTAAGTGGCGTGTTCAGTGACTGCACGTCCACGAGCATGACCTTACACTTTGTGGGTGCAAAGTGCATGCCAATGGACTTTTGTCAGTTCATCTAAGAACACCTGAGCCTTCTCCTCCTCTTCGAAGATGAGAACGATGTCGTCTACATATTCCAGACCGACAAGTTTTTCTTCACAGGCTATTTGAACATCAGGTTTTGGAGACCTTCTAGCGTTCGTCTCATTATCTCATTGATCACGAAGCTACAAGTAAATGGGAAGAGTGGGCATCCCTGACAGACGCCGTTTTGTGTACGGGAGCTTTTCGAGAGCTCTCCCTATACTCTCACACATCCGGAAGTGTGAGAAAATAAGGAACGTATTATGTTCATAAACCAACGGGGCATTTTTGGTGGGCAAACTTGTCAAGAAGGACAGACCAATCAACCGAGTCAAGTGTGCTTGGGAAATCCAGGACTACTAGAATTGTGGGTCGCTTATACATATGGCGTTGTTCTAGTACCTGACGGAGTGTGAAGATTTAGTCAACACAACCCCTACCAGGCCGGAATCCCGCTTGCTGCTCTCGAGTCAGTATCTCACGAGCCACCGTAAGGCGACGAAGCACAATTGCCGCCAGCAGTCTCATTACGACCGGGATCGAGCTGATCCCCCTGTGGTCACCACACTCACTATTCCCCCCTTTTTTAAATGGGCACTATCACCGACTCTCTCCAGTTGTCTGGACAGACTCC